CTCATTTTCTCTCTTTTACATATCTAGCATCCTGATTTCTTCTCAATAAATAATTCTTGAAAAACAAAAAAGAATTACAAGCCACTGTACAGATTGCCTTGACTCCAAATTCACTTGATGGCAATGGGTTTTATTTTTTGTTTGGGTAGTGATCTACTTCCTAAAGACAGAAGATATGGCTTCTAGCCTTAACTCCATCACAAATCTGCAGTCAATCACTGCTCCTTCCACCTAGCTTACACATGAAAGATTGGATAATCCTAGCAGGCTTGCTTTCCTTAATACACAAAATGTTGTTCATTTTCTTGTTGTTTTTGAGAATATGGACAGCAAAACTTACACCAATTCTACAGTTTCTATGAGTACCATGTAGTGACACCGATTACATTCTCCAAGGTGTGTCACCATTCTCACCCTCCTTTTCTCAGTTGTGCCTCCTCCATTAACAAATTCACTGCCCCCCATGGGTCCTATCTAATCTTTCAAGAGGCTTTTGTCAATGTGATCCCATGCAGACAGAACTTAAAAATAGCCCAGTGCTCAAGGCAGACATTCTTTACTAGTTAAGCTAAACTACTGTTTGGTTTTAAGAAGATTTCAGGAGATATTTTGGCTTAAGGTTTAATGATTATCTCAGGGCAATAATTTCAGGGGTTCAGCCAGCCCCCATGACTCCAGGAAGTCTGGATTCCATGAGGATTTGAAATTCTCTTCTGTATTTTCCCCCTTTTGATTATGTTTCTCCTATGGGATCTTTGATTAAAATATTCGGGAATGGAAGCCAGGCCCCACCTAGTTCTGGTCACATGGCAGAGGAGGCAGTTATTCGTGGCGGCAACTAGCCACACGTTCCATGCCCTCTTCCTATTCCTGACTCTCCAGTCCTCTCTTGTTGCAGGCAAATGGAAACCCATTGTCTGCCTCAGATGGCTACTCTAGCACGTTTTCCTGACTTTCCAGAGATAGCAAGACTAGATGAAAAGCTCATTTAATGAATGAAAATGGCTGGGTCCCCTTAGAATAAAATTCTAGACAAAGTTATAATACCACCAATGGCAGCAAATTACAGAAGGGTAATTAGTTACTGGGCAGAGCTGAGCAAATGGTCCTTGCTGGATATGTTGGCTAATGGCTGCCAATAGCATCTAAAATAGCATCTAAAAGCAAACATGAGCAAATCTTTGGCCTCAGCTCATGCTATTGCTGTGTGTCATCGAGTCAATTTCAACTCATATCAACCTTATATGATAGAGTAAAACTTCCCCTGTGGGTTATAGACTATCATCTGTATGGGAGCAGACCGCCAGGTCTTTTCTTCTGCGGAGCTGCCGGTGGGTTTGAACCACTGACCTTTTGGTTAGCAGCTGAGCACTTAACCAGTTATGATGAGCACATGACAGAATATAAGGATGTTAGTGAACTGTCCACAGAGGCACAGCCACTTACCTGTGGAGATGTAACATGTGGATATACTGATGCTCAAAGAACTCATAACAGGAAATGTCGTACTCACTGATGGCTTGACCATTCTTATACCAAGTTACCTCTGGCTTGGGCTGGCCTGATGGTAAGGAAACAAGAATATTCTTAATACTCTCAGTATTTCTTAGAAAAGAAACCACAAGGTTAGGAACAAGAGTGGGTAATAAGCAACAGGGATGAACATGATGCAGTTTATGTCAGGTGGGAACTGCAAAAGCTTCCTCTCAGTCATATAAATGCATCAGTCAGCACTTCTTGAGCTAGTTATGTGCCTTCATGGTACTGGTCTGGTTGGGGGTAGAAAATACAAAGTGAAAAAATGTCCCTAATCTCAAGGAACTATTAATAAATACTGTGCAAAACTTGGAAATAACAGGAAAATATGGATAGTGGATCATTTCAATGTCCTATGTGGGGAGAAGCCCATTCAAGAATTATTTAGAGGAACAGACTGTTTCACTCAACTATTACTATTGATTAACATTCCCAGGCTTAGTGAAGTTACATATTAATTTGTAGATTTTTATCCAATGCAAATAATTTTTATCCAGATGCAAATAATTTCCTTCTGACAGAAAAGATAACCCCATAAGTTATGGTTTGTTGCCTTATAGGACATTAACCAGTGTTCTACCTAGCCCAGCAATCTTGTCCTGTTGTTATTAAGTGCCATCAACTTGGACCCAACTCATACTAGCATTCCTTTATTAAATCGCCTGTAAGTTTTTAGTTCCTCTCATGTTGTTTGAGGAGCTCTGGTGGTGTAATGCCTAAGGCATTTGACTGCTAACCAGAAGGCTGGCGGCTCAAACCCACCAGCCACTCCTCAGAAGGAAGGTTGGGCAATCTTCTTCCGTAGTGATACTGCCTCGGAAACCCAAGGAGGGGTCACTATGAGTGGAAATCGACTTGATGGCATATTACAGCAGCAACATGTTCTTTGACCAGGTCTTAATACTTTCTGGTTCCCTTCTTAATTAATGAGTTGAATAAAATCATTGAAATGTTCACTTCACATTTGTATGCATGTCACTTTCTTTTTTTGAAAATTGTACCTGAGCAGTCCTCAAAGGTGAGCATGTATTGTGGTACAAAAGAGAAAAGAACAAAGTGGATTAGCAGATGCTATTTTCTTCCTAAGCACAATGGCGCTTGGAATGCTGGCCCCCAGGCCAGAACTGTGCATGTGTGATGATGGCAGCACAGAAAGTGACTACACTCCCTCCCTCACAAAGGCTCCATCCTTCCCTGGTGGTCATTATCTGGACATGATGTTAGTGGGTTGATCTGGTAAAACCCCAGAAATTTCATCCTCCCCTTGGGGTTATTTTTTCCCTTGTTACAGAGCAAGAAGGTTTTCAGGGTGTCCCAAAGAGCTCTCTCACTTGCCTGCATGCCACTGAGAATCTACCAAAATGGGCCAGATACACAAGGAAAGGCCAGTGTTTAGAAAGAGTACACCAGTCTGAATTCATCCTGAAAACATCCGTGGGTTTCTGTCTTATCTGTTGCGTGACTTTTTGGCAAGGAACCTCAGAAACCATAATGAAGATAATAACTCCATGTTTTTGGAAGGTCACAGAAGGGGAGAAGCTAAAAGCGGTCAGGAGGTAACCAGAGAAAATCAGTGAGACCTATCCTAGGGGCAGGGTCTGCCCAACTGAGGGGCCTTCTCCCCATCTCCATGTCTCATTGAATCTCCCAGCTCAGCTACTTCCATGCTGATGTGTTTTTTGGCAACAGTGAGTGTTCCTCCCACCTCCTCCTTCAGATAGGTGGTTCTAGGTGGTTCCCAGAGCCAAGGGACAGACACACTGCAGGCAAGAACATGTCCTTCTCCACACCTGTGTGGCTGAGCCTCTCAGACAAATGTCTAAACCAACAAAAAATGGGCTTCCCCTCTTGTGAGTGGCCATCTGGGGTACAACTATTGGTTTCTCCCCAACCAGAGCAAAAAACGGTGAAGAAAATCAAAGATGCAAGGAGCAATTTAGTTTGGAGGACTGATGGATGATGTGAGGCCCAGCCTCCATGACCCTGAAACCAGAAGAGCTAGGTGGTGCCTGGCTACCTGAAAGGGGTAGCTGACTGCTCTGAAAGGGGTCACAATGGAAGGTCTTGGATAGAGTGGGAGAAAAATGTGGAACAAAACCAAAAAGACACTGTGGCCTTTGGATATCCTTCAAGCCTGGAACTAAACTCACCCACATGGTTCAACTCTCAGCCAAACAGAAGACTGGTCTGTAGTGTGTAAAGTAACACCAGGGGGACATGCATTCCTTGGAACAACAGACCATGTGAAATCAAAAGGACAGCATTTGCCCAGGGATGAAGCTCAGAAGGTGGGAGTGGATAGGAGGGAAGGACGAGTGGAAATGGTAAACACAGGGAGGTAGTGGCAAGGGAGCTGTTACATTGTGGGGACTGGAATCGAGGTCACAAAACAAAATGTGTATGAATTGTTGAATGGAAGACCAGTTTGCTCTGTAAACTTCCACCCAATTCACAATAAAAAAAGTTAAAAAGCAGAGATATATCAACCAGTTTATTCTGATTTCTCTGAAGCAAGATCCATCCATTAGCTTCCTTGTTACTTAAGTTAATAATTATTTTTAAAAAATTGAAAGAAAAAAAAGAAGAAGAATCTGCAGTGTCTTAGCTTGGTGCCTCTGGCTCAAGGTCTTGGGGAAATTAAAAAAAAAAAAATGGAGGGGAGGGCAGCTTCCCTGAAAGCAATCAAGGAGATTACTGATCATAACACATTTCTCCCTGTTTTTATCAGCCTGGTGTTCCCTTTTGCTTAGTTTTTATTAGATTCTTCCTTGTTGTTGTTGTTGTTGGCTGCAGTCAAGTTGGTCTGATTAATGGTGACCCCACGTACAGCAGATCAGACCGTAGGGTTTTCATTGGTGTATCATCAATAGTAGATCAACAGGCCTTTCTTCCTACTCTTAGTCTAGAAGTTCTGCTGCTGCCTGTCCAGCATCATAGCAACATGCAAGCCTCCAGTGCCAGACAGCTGGGAATTGAACCCAGGTCTTCTGCATGGGAGGTGAAAATTCTACCAGTGACTCTCTAGGGCCTCATAGATTACTTCTTAGAAAACAAACTCACTGCCATCCAGTCGATTCCAACTCACAACTATCCTACAGGACAGAGTAGAACTGTCCCGTAGAGTTTCCAAGGCTGTAAACCTTTATGGAAGCCAACCAACACATCTTTCTCCCACAGATTAGCTGGTGGGTTCACACCACCAACTTTTGGTTAGCAGCCAAATGCTTTAACCACTACACCACCAGAGCTCCTTAGATTCCTTCTTAGGAAGCATTTGATTGCTCCTTTCTCGTATATGTGACTGTCTCTGGAAAAGTATACACACTACGCACGAGCGAAGCCTGGCAGACACATCCTGCTACCATGGGCCTGTTTTTCATTCAGACTCACCAGCCTGATTGGCTCCCCCACCACCACCCAGTTTCTGAATGGCTGACTGTTTTTTCCCTCAGTGCAGTACAGATCTGAATAATCGTCAGAAGAGAGACAAGGTAGGGAAGTGGTATCTCATACCCTGTGGGTGTTTCTCTTTTCTCCCTCCACTTGCTGGAAACCTCACCACACATCCCACCCTTGCTTTCTGAACCTCCTTGCACATCACATACTGAGAGGCACCCCCAGAAAGGGTCAGAAGTATCAGCTAATGTGGTTGGGGACGGTAGCAGTTTAGGGCATGTCTTTGGAAAAACATGCTCAGGGTTAACTGTGCTCTCCCGCTGTCTCAACGACTACGGATAGCAGGGAGAAAGCAAGGAGGCAGGAAGGCTATGGTGTCCCTGTGAACTTGATCATGTAAACTACAGAGTTAGCACAGCAGGTCTGAGATGCATTCCCACCACAGGTCTGCTTGCAACGCAGGACTTCGGCTGGCTTCTGGCAACCTGGATTTCAGGAGACAGCCCGCAACTATGAGTGTCTCACTGTGCCCACGCTGTTTGTACAAATAGTGTGGTTTTATGGACCATCTCCTTTCCTTCTGGGAGGCTGAAGTTTTGGGACATGCTAGGCAGAGGGTGCCCATGTGACTAGCCCCCAATTAAAACCCTGGGCAGTGGGTCTGTAATGGGCATCTCTGGTACACAGCATGTCCCACATGTTGTTACAACCCTTGGCTGACTGAATTAAACACGTCATGTTTGACTCCCCTGAGAGATGTCTCACGCCCACTTTTCTCTGGATTCTGCCCTGTGTACCCTCTCCCTCACAGCGACCCCATGGAGAGGAGAACCGGGCTCCATTCAGTTCTCAGGGGCTGCTTTTTCAAAGGTACATTGCCAGCTCTTTCTTCTGAAGCATCTCTAAGTGGACGCAAATCTTCAACCTTTCAGTTAGCAGCTGAGCATGGTAACTGTTTGCACCACCCAAGACTCTCCATGAGTCTGAATGGGCGTGATGGCAACTGGTTACCTTCTCCTTTTGCTTATTTAGCTTTGTATCCTGCTACTGGAAAAAAAAAAACCTCTGTGCTGAGGATGACCAAAAGAAAAGAAAAGAAAGGAAGGTGGCTCACCTCAGGCTTAGAGTGACTAGGGGTGATGCTCTGCACCCAAGCCTCTAGACTGAGGAAGGTTTCATGATGACATAAAAAAGACCAGGCTTACTGGTCTGATAGAGCCTGGTGAAACCCCCAAGACTATGGTTCCTAGTCACCTTTCAGGCCCAGAATTTAACTCACTCCTGTGGCTTCCAGTCAAACAACAGACAGGCATATAGGGTGAACATTTATACCCAGTAAATGCACTCCTTAGAATGATCAACCATGGAAGAACAGAAGGGCAACCTGTGTTTGCACAGGGAGACAGGTCAGGGGACAAGGATGTATAGGAAGGACAGACACAGGGAAGCGGTAACTACAGAGAGGAAGTGGGAAGAGAGCTGTTACATTGTGGGGACAGCAGTCAATGTCATGAAATAAAATGTATATGAACTACTGTATGGACAATGAATTTGCTCTGTAAACTTTCACCCAAATCATGATAAAAATAAAATTTAAAAAAAAAGAAAAAGAAGATTTCCTGATGACGTCTGCTGAGGAAGTCCAGACATTTCCAAGGCTGGCTCTTCTCCTCTCTGTACTTAGAAAAAGGGTCCAGGAGAGAGGGGCTTTCCCTCTGCCCTCAGGAAAGACCACTCATACTTCCTTGTCTTCTGATGGTGGAGACATAATTCGATTGTTTTATTTTCATTTTCATTTCATAGTAAATCCTTTTTAGCATTGGGGATGTCAGCACTGATTGACCCTGACTGATTTAGTCACCCACTCTCCAGTCTAGAGGGAATTCCAGACTCCTGCATATCCTCCACTGCATACCATTACCCCTAATTTTAGCCATTTCACTGTTTATCAACATGCCTGAAGGAGGCAAGCAGCGGAGAGACTGATTTCGCCAGTTTGAGGATCCTAACAAAAGAGTAGTGAAGGGACAATTCAAGAGATTGTCTGAAGTGAAGTCATTCATGCCATTCTTTGTCCCACGGGCAACTACTGACCACCACTGAGCTGATTCTTACTCATAGAGACAGAGTAGAACTGCCCCATAGGGTGTCCAAGGCTGTAATCTTTAAGGAAGCAGACTGCCTCATCTTTTATCCTGCTGAGTGGCTGGTGGGTTTGAACTGCTGACCTTTTTGTTAGCAGCTGAGTGCTTTCCACCACTGCACCACCAGAGCTCCTTCACAGGAAACTAAGAGTGGATTATCTGAAAAAGGAATCGGGGTGAGACTTGCCTAAGCAAGAGCTACAACATGAACTGAAGAAGGTTCTAACACATGTCCAGGAAGTTACTCAAAGAAATCTTTAGGAGAAAACAACAGAGGATTTAATCACTCAATCCATTACTCAGAGCAAACTGTCAAGGTAATTTTCCCAAATGACGTTTCAACACGGCCTGTGTGAGCCCAAGGTCAGGTGTACAGGGAGATTTAACATTTGATGAGCCAGATTACCGGATACAATGCAGCGCAGCACGATATCTGACTTCTCGGGAAGCTTCTGGGAAAGCAACGTAGATAAAAAACAAAGTGCGCGTCTTGGGGGCTCTTCTGTGTCTTTCATCCTTTCATGCCACAGGAATCTGAAAAAGAGGAATTGCCAGCATCACCATCTGTTCTGGGATTTCTCTGGTCTTCCTAAGAATACAAGAAGCCACAGAGTGTCATTAGTGATCCTTAGGAGAGAAGGAGTTGTCCCTGGACGGCACAAATGGTTAAGCACCCGCCTACAAACCAACATGGTGGTGGTCGGAACCTACATGCCAGTGTCTCAGACAAAGGCCTGGAGACCTGCTTTCAAGAGGTCACAGCCTTGAAAGCCCTATGAAGCATGATTGCATTCTGTACCCACGGGGTCGCCATGAATCAGAACCAACCCGATGACAGTGTTTGTTTTTTGGGAGAGGGGCAGGGAGCATGCAGCTGTTCTGTTGGTTTACAAAAGGCTCAGGTGTTGGCTCTCAGGGCGGCAAGCAGGTGGAGAGCCCTAGCCCACAGCTTCTCGACCTCAGTGACTGACATCGGGGCTGGCTACTTCTTTGTTGTGGGCACTGCCCTGGGCACTGTGAGATGATTAGCAGCATCCTGGGCCTCTACCCACTAGATGCCAGTAGCATCCTGCTGGTGGTAACAATCAAGAATGTCTCCCAAAACTCAATGCAATCGTGATTCTGACGCGCAGTGACCCTTTAGGACAGATTAGAACTGCCCCATAGGGTTTCCAAGGCTGTAAATCTTTACGGAAGGAGGCTGCGTCATCTTTCTCCTGCAGAGCAGCTGGGTGGGTTTGAACTGCTGACATTTTGGTTAGCAGCTAAATGCCTTAGCCAGTGACCACCAGACTTCTAGAATGTCTTTAACCCACTGCCATGGAATTGATTCTGACTCATAGTGACCCCCATTGGGTTTCCAAGGCTGTAAATCTTTACGGAAGTAGATTGCCTCATCGTTCTCCCATGGAGCAGCTGGTGGGTTTGAACCACTGACCTTTTGGTTAACAGTCAAATGTCTTACCCACTATGCCACCAGAGCTCCTACAACGTCTCCAGACACTGCCTTTGGGGACAGCCCTGGTTGAGACTCACTGGTCCTGGCAGCTCCCAGTGTGACCAGAGCTGAGATGGACCAGAGGACTAGGTTGAGCCTAAGGCTGCTGCCTCCTCCTCCCACTTCCTCTTTCTTTTAGTCGAAATCTTTTCATATTGTTCTCGGTACATGTGCACCTTTGTCTCCGAATAGAGGAGCATATTACAGCCACATGAATCTCCAGAGGACAGAAATTTTAAACTTGGGAAATGACTGCTCCTTCTGAGAGCGGCCAGGTGCCCAGGGGAAGGCAGGCACTGCACGAGTGGTTTTGTGCACACATTTATTCATTGATTCAAAAGTCACTGTCATGGAGTCAATTCTGACTCACCGCGACCTGACAGGACAGAGTAGAACTGCCCCATAGGGTTTCTCAGACTGTAATCTTCACAGAAGCAGACTGCCACATCTCTTCTGTGAAGCAGCTGGTGGGTTTGAACTACCAGCCTTTCAATTAGCAGCCACGCACTTGACCACTGTGTCACCAGGGCTCCTAGTATTTCCTGACAGGAACACAAATACTATCCTTACTCACCAAACACACTTAGTGCAGTGATGCTTATGGTATCATTAGAAAGGCCATCTTCCTGGTTTAACTCATTTCATCAAAGGCAGGTCCAACGACAGGTCTTTCAAGACCTTACACATGGAAAAGAACGCAGACATTTTTCTCCAAACTTCTGTGTTTTCATTTTGAAATAGTTAAGTGTTTATCTGTGCACTAAGGCACTTGACTGTTAACCAGAAGGTTGGCGGTTCAAACCCACCAGCCACGCTTCGGAAGGAAGGTTGGGCAATCTACTTCCATAGTGATATTGCCTCAGAAACCCAACGAGGGGTCATTATGAGTTGGATCCGACTTGACAGCAGTGCATATGATTTGAAGATTTTTCTTCTTCCCCAATAAGAGATACCCTAATTTTAGTTACTGAGAGGAACAGCCTCCTGGAATCACCCCACAAACTTCCCTAATATTTTTTAGTTTCTTTCTGGTCATGCGATTTCCTGTTGCAGAAGATCTTCATTTGTTTTACTGCCTCATTGATACAAGTAGACAACCAACACCCTGGGAGTCCCTAGGTATCTTATTTCGCTTACTCTCCTTTAAACTACCTACATCTTATACCTGAGGTGCCTGGAGCTCCACAAGCACAACCTGCTCAAGATCACAGCTCGAGTGGCCGCTGTCCTGGGGCCACCATTTATGGCCACGCAGGTCGCACATCTTCCACGTGAAAGGCTTCTCCTGGAGCTGTGCGGTGCACAACGTGCACGGAGAGTAGCGGCCCCAGACCCAGGTCTGTCTGGGTGCAGAGGTGCTGCCCAGTCTACTCCATTGTGGAGTCACAGGCCTGGAAGTCATATTTAGCCCCGTGCAAACAGGAGCATCTCATTTCTCCTGAACTTGGTGAGCAGCTTGATCACACATGGGGAAAGACACACACCCCAGCGGGACACATTGAACATGACCTGAGGAGGGGGTTAGAAAGTGCAAGTGGTGAGTTCAGGGATGCTGTTGTTGTTGTTGTTATGTGAAATGGAGTTGGACCTGACTCGTAGTGACCTCTCCTTGGGTTTCTGAGGCAGTATCACTACGGAAGTAGATTGCCCAACCTTCCTTCCGAGGAGTGGCTGGTGGGTTTGAACCGCCAGCCTTCTGGTTAGCAGTCAAGTGCCCTAGGCACTATGCTACCAGAATTCCCTCAGGGATGCTGAGGGTCCTAAAATGGAAGCCTGAGTTAAGCTTTTGGTGGGAGAGGCTGGATGTGCAAGGCCACGTTTGGGCTACAGATTCTGTCTCATGGTGATGCCATGTGTGCAGAGTAGGACTGCGATCCACAGAGTTTTCAAAGCTGTGATATTTTGGAAGGAGATCACCAGCCCTTTCTTCCGAGGTGCCTTATGGGTATCCATAGCAGCTTCTTAACCATTGATTTAACTCCCCCCTCTTCCCTTCCACTTTTTCAGGTTGTTTCTGAAATCCTGAGAGACAAGTAGCCAGAGTCAATTTCCCTGATAACAGATCAAGGTTTCAGCAACACCTAAGGGTCTTCTGATGAGTCAGAGGGAGATCACAAGGTGTGGGGGCAACCATGTTTGAGAGCCTTTGCCTCAGTTAGCAGATTGGCTGTTTTTGCAGGGCCCAGGTCAAAACAGAAATGAGGGGCTCCTCATTCATATATTATTAACAATTTCAAGATGGCTGCAGCAGAGCATTAAACCAACTGTGAGGCCCTTCTTAGCATGGGCCTTGGACACAAGTCCCACACTGATGAGGCTAGTCCGTTTCTAAGCACAATCCTTGGAATATTCTTCTCACAAATGCTGGCTACTCCTGCCCTCTCAAAAAAAAAAAACAAAAAACACTGCCATTAAGTCGATTCGAACTCACAGCGACCCTATAGTGCAAAGTTCAAGTGCACTGTAGGATTTCCCAACACTGTAAATCATTATGGAAGCAGACTGCCTCATCTTTCTTCTGAAAGCAGCTGGTGGTTTTGAACCACTGACTTTTTGGTTAGCAGCCTAATGCCTTAACCACTGCACCACCAGAGCTTCTTCCTTCCCTCTCGGGCCTCTGTTGAATAAGAATTCACTCCATTAGTCTCAAGATGTTTGGTTTAGAAATATGAGGGATCCTTAAGGAAACAAAAAGATCATTCCCAGACTGCCTCCTAGGAAACACTCAACTTTCTGAAAATCACTGTGAAAATATTAATTCAGGAGAAGGCATTGCCTCCCCTTCCTGAGGAAGACTGTGCAGAAGGCAACGCACTCCTAGACTTGAAGTGAAACCAAGCCACGACATGGGTGCCAAGAGCTGTAAAGTTGAAGAAGTTATGTCTTAGCATCAAAAAAGAAGAAAATTGCTTAGGCTTGAGGCAGAACACATGAGCTGGGAGAGGAGTAAGAGAAGAGAAATTTGAAGAGCTTGGAGGGGGCTGGGATACATGTGCAAGACTGAGCAAGAGAGACTGACTGGGTTTCAAGAAATTTTGCTTTGTCATTGTGAATTGGATCTTTTTCACATTCTTTAATTAACAATTGAATTGCATTTCCAGTCATTTTTGGTTATAGGATTTTTTTTAATGCGATTTTAAAGAGACTGGACCATGTGGTGTATACAGTAAACCCATGCTAGTTAAGAGTATCATAAAACCCTCTCATTGTAGATGGTAAGTTAACTGCACAGAATAGGAAGAAATTTCACATACAAGATGGCCAATTAATTATATTACAAGTTATGTTATAAGTGCATTTGGTGGTTGAAAAATTGGAGAGCTCCAATTAGTATTAAAAAAAAAAAAAAAAGATTTGGCAAAAATTATTTATTTAGAAATTAGAGTAATGT